GCATGGCGGGGACAACCGTGCCCCCCCCAGCCACTCTTGTGTTCACCGCCTTCCCCTTGCCCGCAGTATTTAAGGAAGAAGAACGCGGAGCTGGAGGAGCGGTACAGGGAGACGACGGTGCCGAAGCCGGTGTACTGGTGAGTCGTGGGGGCTGCGGGCAGGGCACTGCCCGCTGGTGGGGCCCCCCTAAAGCCCTGTGTTTCTCTGCCAGGGGGGGCTACATCCTGCAGCCAGACGTCGTGGAGTTCTGGCAGGGCCAAACCAACCGCCTGCACGACCGCATCGTCTTCCGACGCCTGCGGGATGGCTCGGCCGCCCTGGGAGACATGACGCACCGGGGAGAGGGCGAATGGGTCTTCGAACGCTTCGCCCCATGAGGCTGTCGGCGTCTCCGGCCGCGTTCACCCGATCGGGAGCATCACCTATGCCAAACCTGCCTGCCTGTCCCCCGTTGTGCCCTGGGGAACAGGGCTGGCCTCGCTCTGCCCTCCCCCAGGAGATGCATGCGGAGCTCCGGGGGTGCTGGTGGGGGGCTCTGGTCCAGCCCCAGAGACCTTCATCTCCCTTCGCTTCTCCCTGGGGCAGGCGAGACCCACAGGTGGGTCCCAGAGAACCCCGCTTCCCCTTGCCAGCACACGGGGAGCAACCGCTCCCAGGGCCGCTGGCGGTTAATTAATCACGTTAATGATTATGGAGGGACCAAGAAAGACCCCAGCGAACCCCCTGCCCGTGCCCTGCCGCTGCCACCGCTCGTACCTCGTGTGTTAGCTGGAACCGTGCAATGTGCTCCATCTGTGCAATAACATTGAATTGCGGCTTTTAACGTCACCGGTCTGTGCAATTAACTTATTTAATTGCAGCTTTACTGTCACCACCGTGTCGCCGGTGTTCGTGGCTGGCTGTGTGTGTTGCCACCAGTGCGCCCCATCTCCCCGTGGCTGTGGGACCCCGACCCTCTGCCTGCTTGTTTGGGGAGGGGAGGGCTGAGCTGGCGCTGCTTCCCGTCCCTGTCCCCCCCCGGCAGTTGTGTGTCTGAGCTTGGAAAAAATAAATCCCGATCGGCACGGAGCCGTACAGTGGGTTTGGGTTAATATTTACCCGCGCGGGGCCGGGCTGTGCTCCGTGGAAGACGGAGCTCAGCGCAGGGAGGGGGTCCGGGCAGAGGGTGCTGGCAGCCCTCGCTGTACTGGGCTGCCTCCCAGTGAAACCAGGATCTGATAACCTTCGCCTTCCCTGGCTCTGCGTTTGCTCTCCCGGTTGCTGGCTTTTGGGGCAGGATCGTGGCCCCGGGGGGGGCGGTTTGCCGCGGTTGGGGATCCCCCCGGTGGGTTCCCGGTTGTGCCGTGTTGGGTGAAGCCCTGCGGTGGGCGGCGGCGGG